ATTGGCAAGCTGTAAAACATCTGGCTGACAAAGAAAATACGGAAAAAAAAATGGGTTCAGGGGGCAAGTGACACTCAGGGATAGAGCCATTCCAACTTTTACCCATCTCTTAAATCAGCTAAGCCTGGAATATTCTAAATAAAAACTCAATTAAAATAAATGAAATCATTTTTTTCTAAATTAATTCAGTACATTTTTATAATCAATTAAATAAATTTTAAAATTAACAAAACCAACTCAATGCTGGATATCCTGAATAATCTCCAAAATATGCCAAAAAAAATCCATAAAATACAAATGTCTTTTCAGGCTGAAGGATCTTGGGGAGTCATGACCACACTGGTTTTCAGCAAACCCCCATAAGCAAATTTATGTAAATGAGGAGGACCGGTGGTTCCTATCGCACCAAGGATGAAAATGATGTTTGTACTGATGCTCTTCTGCCCAACCCACGAGGAATCCCCCCAAAAAAGGGGTCCCCAGACAGGTCCCCACCATAAGATCCCCATCACAAGGTTTAAACACCCTTACAAGAGAGTAATTTAACGCCATTCCCAGCTTAAGCTCCATATCTACCGGGCGTGAAATTAGTTCCAGCAAGCTGCAAATTTGCCACTAATAAAAATATTTAGCAATTCGCTAGTCTTTAAATCAGGAGCAGAATATTTCCTTTCTTGCATCAACGCCGTTTCTTTTTAATTCTAATACTGGAGCACCGGGGAGCTCCAGCCGGAAAACTGGAAGTCTCACGACTGCGCAAATGGTTTGAAATCGGTTCCCTCAGCGCCTCCAATTCYTTTTACCAAGAGTTTGATCGTTTATTATCGCTTGATACCAAACCACGTTGGCTATTTTGGCCACCAGGATGAGCTGGGCATGGTGGATTTGTAGGTTTTAACACAAAAAGGGCCATCTTGACCCAAACCCACCCTGTTTTCAGGCGCTGCTCCTGGGTGGTGTCTCACAAAAGAGTTTTGATCTGTATGATCCCATCTTGCAGACCTTGAAGGAAGAAGGTGACCTCTCCATCCTCCTGTGCCAAGCATTTAATTAACCTCAGTGCTAATTGCATCTCTCTGTCAAGCCCATCCAATGCCAGCCTTGGGATCTTTGTCACGCCCTTTGCCAAGAAATGCCACAATTCCCTGATCTCTTCCTTGGGAAAAAAACTATCTGCAGTGATGAAGCATCCTTCAGGTCATTCCTTGGCAGAACAGGCAGCTCCTATCCATTGGAGAACACTGAATTATTTGTGCCCAAATAAATCCTTTGAATTGGGTTTTCTGGGCCAAGAGCATCCAACAGCATCTGCATGACTCTGCTTCTCCTTATTTAAAGCAGGTTATTGCTTAAGAGCTTTGCCAGGAAATACTTTATGATACCTATGTGATGGATAGCAAACTCGTTGGAGCTGGAATTAATCATYACCAMATTGTTTGTAATCAGTTTGATGTGKCCTGTCCCCAGCACAAGGGTTTGGATGCAAATGCCACATGGTGCAAATCAAAACTCTTGGAAAAACCTGGATCTGTGACACCAGCAAATGTCCCCACATCAACAGTAATCCCGGAAAAAAATACTACAAATATGAAGTTTCTCCCAGAGTCATGCAAACAACTCAAAAATCCTCAATATTTGCTACTCTCCCATGTTTTTTAATTCACTTTTTATGCCCAACATTGCCTCTTTCCACTTTCTGTGACTTCTTTTTGCCAGGTGYAATGCAACTCTGACACAAGCAGTAAACGGGACCAAATCCCAGCAGGTAAGAGCTAGAAGGAAAAGTTATTTTAGGGCAGCAATAAATGATTCTTTGGCAATAAAATCAGATCTTTGCATTCAGCTGATGGGCTGACAGAGCAGACTGTGAGGCAAATCCCCAGCAGGGCATTTCTGATGCAGGGAGGAGGCTGAGATGCAGAGGAGGGATGTGTTTAGGATGATGATTTGCAGATGGGTTGAAGAAATCTCCAGTGAAGGTTGTGCTTGGAAATATCACACCAATGAGGTTGGTTTGCCCAGGTATCTCCTTCCACTTCCTTAACTGTGGATTTACCAAAATCACAAAAATCTCAAAAAAACCTGTGACCTTGCTGTGACACTGTGTGGGCTGTGCAAATAAATATTTTAGGGATATATTATTAAGTATTAAATATTTTAATTGAAATTTATATAATTTTTAATTTGTTTTGAAATACATTAAATATTAAAGGGATAAATATATAAGTATTTTGGAGGGTGTTGGGCTGTGGGGCATCATTTCAATTCCAAATCTTRTGCTTGAAATACCAATTACTTGAATTATCTTGTGATGGTGGGATTAAAACCAACAAGAAGCATGGCTCAAACCTGGTCATTGGATGTGCTTGCTGGGGTGGATATTGCATTTATTCTTCAACTCCTGGCCAGATATCTGGGATGTGGCATGGTCCACCCTCAGGATCAATAGATGGATGATCCAAGCTCTGTTTCAATCTCTTGAACTGGTTTAACATTACTGTTGCTGGCATCTAGAAATTACCAGGCAKCACCAAGAGATGGAGATGAGGAATAAAGACCCAATTAATATGGGAAGGGGGTTAAAGAGGCTGTTGGAAAAGATGTGGGTAAGAAAATAAGCCAAGGAAAAGGTTTATTGGGTGATGAATGAAAATTACCACTTCTAGATGGAAAGCTAAATGATGTGAAAGGAATAATGGCAGAAGAAGGCTCTGGTTGAAAACGGGGTTATGAAGAAGAAATGTGGGGTTTTGGAAACTATTGGGTTCCAAAAATGCAAAGAAATGGGAAAACAGAGAAAAGCAAAGGGAGAYACCCAAACAACAGCAGCAAATTTGCAATTTCTGCTTGCCCACAGGAGCAGGGGAATAACAGAAGAGAAGGATTGGGGAAAGAATGGCAGGGATGGACATCAGCAAGGTGGGGATTGCAGAGGGGAAAAAAACCCTGCCCGGTGCGATTAACGACACGAGGCAGAGCAGGGAGGAGTTTGCTGTCAAACATACGCTTTTAATGCRTTGGCAGCCGGCTGCTACTCGGTGCCAAGCAAAGGCAGGTGTCGGAGACACTTYGTGTTCTGCTCGCTGGAGCAGTTGTGTCACGCTGGCGACTCTGATTTCATCACAGGSAAAGGCAGGTTGATGCTACACAGAATAATTAACCGCTGGTTTATTCCTCCCCCTGAAAGAAGTGGCAGAAAACACGGCTCAGGTGACATTYTTTGCAGCCAAAGTATTGCAGACTTCAAACGGTTGAGAGGGAAAATATCAATGTTCCTTTTTTTTTTTCAAGTTAGCTGATAGTTGAGCTGGAGTGCCGGGATTTGGAACAAGATTGTCTTAAAAGTTCTTTCCTATTTTTCCTTTCCTAACACAAACTATTATGGGATTCTGGGATTCTATGATAAAGTTACTCATCAAACCACACTGGCCTGGGTCTGATGTGATGGTGATAAGACAGGATTCATGAACAGGCTGAACTATTCATTTTAAATAGAATTTTCTCTTGTCTTGATATCAAAATATGCTTATGGCACTGATAAACCTCTGTAGCTTGGCTTGGCTGCCCCAATCCCCCAGCAGGCTTTTCCAAAACCCCGCGTCAGCGTTATTGTATAAACCAAACCTGCCTGATTTTCACTCTCAATGTATCTGATGGTGTGGACAGCTCGATTTTAGGATTTTGGGGTGAAAGCGTGTTCAGAGGAGGTGCAGACCAGCGTCAGGTACTGAACACGATCCGTCTGCACCGGGAGCGGGCAGGGGAGGGAAATTCGCGTTCCCCCGGGAGCACTGCGAGCTCGGGGACAGGGGCCACAGCCGCGGGACGGGGAGCGGCTGAAGCGGGATCCTGGGGACTCCGTGACGCCAGCAGGGTCGGGGTTCA